GTAGTTTTATATGTTCTAATATATATTCTAATATTTTTATAGAACATTAACGAGATCAAATATATTTCGGATGCAAGTGCTTTTTAATTTAGATAAAGAACATATTAAAATGGAAGCGATGATGTTTTGTAGTAGGGCTGGCTCAACAGATCCGAATAGTGTAAGAATTCCGCAAGCAACAATGGATGTTTTGGAGAGAAATGAAAATCCGGAGGATATATCACATATTGCCGAGGGTGGAATGATTTCTATTGAAGAATACAGAATGATGTTACAATGACTGTAATTTTATTCAATTAACATTGAACAAAAAGTGACGAATTCTTAATACGTCATAAGTTTTTTTAGTTAATCAATAATCCAAGTAATACCTTTACCATGCAATCTACTAGAACAAGTGTATTTCTCAAAAACCTACAGGTAAATTCACCTGCAAGGTTATATATAGTATTGAGATTACTTCCTTTTTTTTTTTTTACTTCAGCTTTAGTTAAACTAATAAAAATGTGCAATTTGATTGGTTTAGCATGGGATCATATTTTATAGTAGAAAAAATACTTTCAATAAGATATCTATAAAATTGTTGTCTTCCGACTTGTCATTTCAAATCAAGAACAATAATTCCATTTTATCATTAATATACAAGGTTATATCTGTGCTGTACATGCTTTATTGGATCTTTCAAACAAAAAGAGAGATTTACAACTAAATATTAAGTAAAAAAAAGGAAATAAAACAAAAAATGATTTTTTATTTATAACTAAGAATTAGAACCGTTTAAATGCATAAAAATTGGTTTATAAAAACATACAATGTGAACACGCATATTAAAAGGGAACGCCTACAGTATTTCCACCATAGTAATTTGCTAATTTAATTACAATATATAACAGATTATTAAAAGTAAATACTATTCTAACCTAATTCCAATTCCGACCATATGGGATCTTTGCTATGAAAATGACCTTCCAAGCCTATTTAGATTTTATGAATAAAATTAAAATTTATTAACGATCCAGTAATCCAATTTGAATAAATTTTTTTTTTATTACATTAAGCTTAGCAAACTCTATTAAATAAAAAAAAGTTTATCTAAATTGGATTACTAGATCCCTTGTAAAATTTTTATTTTATT